CCCCCTGCCAAAGGTAGGATCATCCCTGACTAAGCCATCTCAGCCAAATGTCTGCCCAGCCTGCTCTTGGAAACTTCCAAGGATAAAGATTCCACAGTTTCTCAAGATAGCTTGTTCCAGTACTTCACTACCCTCATATTCAGAAAGTTCCTCCTAATCTCTCCAACCAAAATTTATCCTGCTGTGTAGCTTGAGGCCATTGTTCCTAGTCCTATCCCCTATGGCCACAGAGAAAAGCTCATTTCCATCCTTTTTGTAATTGCCCTTCAGATATTTGAAGACTATTATCATATCCCCCCTCAATCTTCTTTTCTTCAGACTAAATAGCCCAAGTTCTTTCAGCCTTCCCTCATAAGCCTTGCCTTCAGGGCCCCTAACCATTTTTGTTGCTCTGCACTGGATTCTTCCAAACTATCCACATCCTTCTTGAAGTATGGGGTCCCAAACCTGAATACCGTAGTATAGGTGAGGCCTCTCCAGTGCTGAATACAGCAGAAGAATCAGTTCCATTAAGTTGCAAGAAACATTTCTGTTAATAAAACCCAGTATAATTGAGGGGGAGGAGGGGGTTGCAACAAGAGCATGCTGTTGGTTCTACTGTAACCCGCAGGTCCTTCTCTGCAGTTCTACAGCCGAGCCACTCATCCCCTAGCATGTTTGCATGCATGCAATTATTACATTCCAAGTGCAGGACTTTGCACCTGTCCTTCTTCAATCTCATCTGATTGATTGATTGATTGATTGAAGACCCTTTCTCCAGTCTATCCAAGGCATTCTGGACCTAGCCCTACCCTTCAGAGTACCTGCAACTCCACCCAACTTGCTGTCATCGGCGATTTTGCTAAGTGTGCACTTGATCCCATCATCCAAACTGTGAAGATATTAAACAATACCAGACCCAGGACAGACCCCTGGGAAGCCCCACTTGATGCCTCTTCCCAGTTAAATATTGAGCAATTGAGGACTACATGTTGGTGTATTTATGTACCCACCTTACAATACCATTATCTCGTCTGGATTTCCTTAGCTTGCTAATGAGAATGTTGGGGGAAACAGTGTCAAGAGCCTTGCTAAAGTATATTACGTCCACTGCTCTTCTGCCATCAACAGAGCCTGTTACCTTATCATAGAAGGAAATCAAGTTGTTTAGGTCTGAGTTGCTTTTGGTGAATCCAGTTTGCACTAGTGTGTGGCTGAGACAGGGGTATGTAAGAGCCACCACTCCTGTACATTCTGTTTACAGGCCAATCACAGCTGCAGTTTCCCCACACCACCCTGGAACGCACTGTGTTCAGACAGGGCAGGAGCTTGTCATGCACTGTCTCACTCTGTCCTTTTCTACTAGTCCAAAGAATAGAAATGATACTCAGCAAGGCAACTGTGCTATGCTACAGAAAGGAGTGTAACAGTGAGTGCACTCCCCATGAACAGTGAGCAGCCCCAGAAAGGCTCCAGAAGCTCCCCTTGGTGCAGGGCTGCTCTGCAACATCCCATTAAACTGCTAGCTTGTATGAGCCAAGGCATACATTTGCTAGACATTTTGCCTTGAAATCAGTTTGTTTTGATTGATGCAAAAGACTACAATCCTTTTCTTGAGGTTTCAACTGGAACAACTGGATATCTTACACATGCCACAGATCACTCATACCTACTCCTGTCTGAAGACAGGACACATCTTTCTTGTAATGGTAAGGGATTTATTTTGATGTTCTACTCTTGGAGGTTAAAGAAAATTGACCATTTCCAGAATCTATCAAGAAGAATGTTATTCTGGCAGACCACTTTGTCAATATCTTTGTACAACTTTATAATGATCCTTGTTACTAGCTTTTGTCTCAAAGATCATCTTGGCTTACAGGTTATCAGTGACAGGTGAAAAATAAAGACAGGTGGCTAAAACATCCATGGAAGAAGCTGTTGTCTCCAGCTAATCAAATAAGTAAAAGCTTTAAAAAAAATTATGCTATGGATATGCACACTTTTTAGCATTTCCAAAGTTTCAGATAGCAGATGCTCTTAATGGCTGAGAGCCACTAAATCCAGGTTTTCCTTGGTTGGTGATTAAGTTGATTTCTTCTGATTATGAGGAAACTTATTTTGCAGAGAAAATTTCTTTGCCTTTCATCTCAATCAAGCAAGCAATAATACAGGTTTTGCTCAAGTAATCACTGCTGCACATTGGCAATTTTTATCTTGAGTCTACTCATTCCTTTGTCATTAAGAATACTGAAAGGGTTCTGGCAGGAAAACTCTTGCAATATCAAAGTGCAGTAAATTTCCTGTAACCTTGTCAGTTTTGGTACAGATCTGTGGACAAATGAGGAAAATACACTGGTTGTGTTTGTGATCACGTCCTTGTAGCCATGAATGAAGATGCCCAGTCTGGTATTACATCCACTGTTTTTTCCTTAAGGTTGTTGATCAAAAGACGTGGTTGACTTGCCCAAGAATCTCCAGCTCAGAAGATGGGCCTTCTCTGAAGACTTCAGATACTTTCTCTCAAAGAAATTCCAGAAGGACACATGCTCTTCTCCACTAGTGCTTTCATGTGACGTTCTGCTGGATTCTATCTTGCCTCTCTATCTTATATAAAAGGCCTCTGGGAAGGTAATGAAGATGTATAGGCTGCTTTATTTTCATCTGACACATAACACTTAATGTTTCTGTCTCAGATAGCACAGTTGAATACTTTGTTTTGTGTCTGGCCAAGAATGGCACAACACTGAGAGGTAGTTAGCCATGTTAGTCTTAAATCAGCAGTTTGACACTCAGTCCTGCAGAAGGCAGGGCAGATTTGTACCTTAGACTAATTCAGTATCTCCATATACAACTTAAGCTTTCCATGAGGCCAAGATCACATCATCAGATGCTAATCTGTAAGCTCAGGCTCACAAAAATTTATGCTACACATCTCTAATTTAGTTAATCTATAAGGTGTAAATCTACCCTGCCTTCTGCAGGACTGAGTGTCAAACTGCTGTGGCTCAATTCAGATAAAACATGTTAGTAATTTAGGGAAAGCAAATGGAAGATACAGCAAGAATTGTATCTGTCCTTCCGACTGGAGATATTTGCCCAGTATTTTTTAACTCATGTTCAGAACCTGGGAACCTGATTAGATCCTTATTACTGCCAGGTGAACCGGTGTCAGCAATGCCTGAGAATGGTTTTCAGTCTAGTGGTTCTGCCCTTTTTCAAATACTGATCTCACTACTAAGATTCATGTTTTTTGTCACCTCAACATTCGTGCATCTTTCTTTAGAGATTTTCACTAATTCAGCTCAACATCCTATATGAATTTGTAAATCAGTCAACTCACATGCGGTTTCAGTAGTAAATTCTAGAATGTAATACTTTGCTTATATTTTAATTACTGCTTCAAAAAAACCAACCAAACAAACACACTATCAAACCAGAGACAGTGTGAAAAATTTGTATATACAGCACTAAAGTTTGGAGACAAGGCTACTTACTTGTTCAAAATCAACAAGAATTAAGTCTGGAGCATAGATCACATCCCTAGTTATTCATACAACCAGTACAAAGGGACCTTTTTCCTGAAAGGGCCTGTATGCAGTAATTAAGTAATTACTAATGGGCTGACTTGTTCAACTATTACTCACATTGTTGAGGACTTACCTGAGAATTACTATTCATTGTCATGGGATAACTTGCGTGTCTAACAGTTGCATCAATATGAGTAAGGGTTATACAATCACGCCCAATGTGATTTGCACTGTACAGAACATTAAAAAGTTGTATGTAAGAGGTTATCATCTAAAAGGCATGAACTCCTCATTTGCCTTAATGTTATATATATATAATTTGCCTTAATGTTATATATATAGATAAATATATCTGTAGATGTAGACATATAGATAGATAGATAGATTTTATTATATATATATATATATATATATATATATATATCTGTAGATGTAGACATATATAGATATATATATGTATATATAGACAGATACACACACATATCTCAAAGCCATTTGTTTTAAAAGCTAGCTCATAACCCCTTCCCACCTGAAGTGGTCAGCAAATGTTTAAAATAAAGGGCATTCTAAAAAAAGACTTAAGCACTCTGTTTCAGTACTTAATTGATTTTTTGTAGCAAGCTTGTAATCCCCAGAGATAGAATAATATAGGTGAGATCCTGCTCCAACTGAAATCAGTGGTTGTGGGACCAGGATTTCATTTATTTTGTAAAATGGCCATGAAAACAAGAAAGTCTTGTAATCAAAAGAACATCCTCTTTCAGGATGGTGATATGTTGTACAAGTTTAGTTAACAAACAAGGAGATGTATTTTATAACAGGGATGTCAAAAGACTGGATATGGCCTGCGGATCCCATTATCTGGCCCCCCATGATGCCCCTGGGTTTGAGCTGATCCATACACTGCCGGACCAGCCCTGCGCACAGGGCCTGGAAAATGCACTGTGCAAGGGGCCCATCCCAGTCAGTCCAAGATCTGTGCTGCACGTGGTGCCACCCACTCCCCCAGTCTGGCACTGTGTTGCATGTGATGTGTATCCTGAACTGGCTTGCGGGGAACCACATGCAGTACACATCCCGGGATCCGCACTGCAAGCAGCACCTGTTGCATGTTGCAGTTGAACTGGGATCTGCACCACATGCAATGCCCCTCTTCTCACATGATGCAGTCCGTGACCAGGCTGGGGTGGGGAGGTGCTATGTGCAGTGCAAATACCAGTAAGCGCCACATGCACTGGATCCAGCATGGAGGAGGGGAGCAGGGGATCTGTGGGCCTGATCCAGCCTGTGGATCAGCTATGCACCACTTATCTGGTACACAGGGCTATATGAGTTTGACAGTTTTACAGTTACTATAAGACTGATTTTTCTTCTCATGGTAATTTCACAATACTGATATACAACTGATTTCATAGAAGTTACTCTGGTTTTATGCCAGCAAGGGGGAAGAATAGGGTCTTATCTCCACATAGTCTATACAAGGACAAATTTTACCTTCTAGCATTTTTTGCAGACTGTTCCTCATTACATGGATGTTCTCGATGCCTATGAACTGGAACTTGATGTTGGAGTAATTGTCTTCATTCTCATATCCCTTTCCTGCTGCTCTGTTTGCCATTGCATTAAGCTGAAAGGTGAAAAAAAAGGACTACACGATTAAAGAGCAGAAAATAGTTATGTTCAAAGGATATTGATCTTCACCTATAACAGTGAAGAAAAGAGAAGGGTGCTTGGTGAGGTGTTTTAAATTTTTAAAAAGTCAAGGCTTTCTGTTTAAATACAGTTTTCTAATTTTACTTCTACATTCTACCATCTATGTCTTTTTTAGAATGATCATGCAACATTTGAAGTTTTATATTCAGTCAATCACAAACAGACACTCTCTTATGCTGACATCAGTTCCTTGGATGAAGCTGCTAGAACTTAGATGTTTTAATAATAAACTTATTAGATCAGGGATGGGCAAAATATGGCCAGTGGGCTGGATCTGGCCCACAAAGCCATTCTATCTGGCCCGCAGGGCCTGCAAAAAGTGAAGAAAATTAATATTTCTCTACCCTTGATTCCTGTCAAAAATGACAGGAACCAAGGGTAGTAGGATCCAGGGAAGGCCCAGTGGGTTCCCACAACAGCAGGGCCTGTCCAGCCCGCCCCCCCAGCTGGAAGCCCCAGCCGGGGCTTCTGGCCTGGAAGCACGTGGCTGCCCCACGCCAGAACCTCAGGTAAGGGAGGGGGTGGAGAGAAGGGCGGGAGGGACCCTGGGCAGGGAAGGAGCGTGGATGGGGAAAAGCTGAGCACGGGGGTCGGGGGGAAAGCTGAGCACGGCAGGGTGGGGAAAGCAACCCCTTCCCCACCCTGTGGCCGGCACCCCACGCTCCAGCTGCTCGCAGCCTGCATGGGGATGCCTGTGCCTGTCCCGGACAGCCCAATGCAGGCTGTGAGCGGCTGCAGCTGGGAGCACCGGCCATGGGGCAAAGGAGGGGCCACTTTTCTCCCCTGCGCTCAGCTTTTCCCCGGGCTCCTTCCCTGCTCCTTCCCAGCACAGAGGAAAGTGGCCCCTTGCCCACCCTATGGCTGGTGCTCCTTGTTGCAGCCGCTCGCAGCCCCCGCGGGGCTCTCCAGAGTAGGAATAGGCAGCCCCAGGCAGGCTGCAAGTGGCTGCAGCATGGGGCACCGTGCATGGGGTGGGGAGAGGCTGCTTTTTCCAGCTGGCGCTCAGCACCACCTTGTAACCTGGCCCACTGCCAGCCTGGGCCCCATGCTGGCTCCAGGCTCACCCATCGGGGCTGTGCAGGGCAGCAGCAGCTGTGGCCCCCTCTGCTTGCCACGCCAGGCAGTGTTTGCCACCGCTGCCTATGGGCTGCCCAGTGTGTGAGCTCCAGGGCGGGTTACAAGCTGGTGCTGAGTGTGGGGAAAAGCGGCCCCTCACCTGCCCCATGCCCGGTGCCCCATGCTGTAGCCACTTGCAGCCCACGTGGGGCTGCCTTGCCTGCTCCAGACAGCCCCATGTGGGCTGCAAGCACCTGCAGAAGAGACCACCGGCCATGGGGTGGGCAAGAGGCCGCTTTTCCCTGCGCTCAGCCCCAGCTTCTTCCCTGCCAGCGAACAGGGGGTTGGGGCTGTGTGCTGTCCCCCACCTGTACTGTGGAACCTGTGGGTACTGGGTGCAAGTGGGCGGGGAACCAGCGGGGGCACAGGGCCCGCACTGGTGTCCTGGGGCCAGTGCCGGTGGGGCCCAGAGCAGGGTGGCAGGAGCGCAGGGTCCCTGCCAGCAGGGGCTCCATGGAGCTGGGCTAGCTCCCCTCTCTCCCTGCTGGTGCAGCCCAGCCTGGCTCCATGGACCCCTCCCAAGGGGCAGGGCACCTGTCAAGGGGCGGGGCTACCTATGCGGCCCTCGACAGCTTGCCAAAACTGGGTAAGCAGCCTTCCGCCCAAAATAATTGCCCACCACTGTATTAGGTAGTGGCAGAAAAAAAGCACATCAATGCAGTTTAATCTCAAGGCTAAACATGCATCATTCTGAAGGTAAACAAACTTGCTCCCATCAGGAGTATCACTCCCCTCATACCTCTATATTTCCCTCAAAACTCCTGGACTAGGTATGCCAGAAAGTCTTTCAGGGAAGCAAGAGTTTCACAGAGCCATTCTGATGTCCAGTAGTGTAGCAAGGTGGAGGTACTATCACTTAGAAGGGGAACAAGAATGGTAGCCATCACCATCCCAACTGCAGCAGCCACCCAACCCCTGCTGCCATTGTCGCCCATGCACAGACCCTGGCAGTTACGCCTCTGCCACTGTCCATGGCAGTTCTACTTTTCCTTTGACCTGACCTCTATGCATATATCACACAGACATTTCTTGTTGGTTCCTAGCCTAGGATCCCACTCTTAAGTCAGGGTCTGGGCTTTACTGGCTGCTTCTGCACTTTGCTGGTTGCCAACAAGGCTGGGAAGGAATTTTTTTCTCTTCTTGTGGCTACAGGAGTTATGAGTTTTTTTCACCTTCCTCTGGGTGTGGGCTGAAGCCAAAGCTGTGGAGTTAGACTGGGGTGTATCAATGCTCATGTTGGGACTAAAACCCCAAGTTTCCAGGCTATAGGATCTTGCCCTTCTGCTCAGGGTCATATCAATCACCAAGTTTGGGATCAAAAAGAATCTTATGAAAACAGTAATAATCAAGAACTGTCCCTTCAGTATTTTTATTACTTAAACTGTTTTAAGAAATGTTTTCATGGGATGTATTATTGTGTGATACAAGCAGAGTAGTTTAAAGACTTATCACAGTGAATAGTTTATCATATCAACATGTGAAAATAATGATTGTTTTCATGTACAACACACCTGTTTAAACAAATGGACATCACACACAGTATATAGTTTCATAGTTTCTAGGGTCAGAAGGGACCTGAACAGATCATCAAGTCTGACCCCCTGCCCTGAGCATGAACAAGTGCTGGGATCATAATACCCCAGCCAGATAGCTATCCAACCTCCTCTTGAAAACCCCCAAAGTAGAGGAGAGCACCACCTCCCTTGGGAGCCCATTCCAGAGCCTGGCCTACCATAAAGTAATGCCTCCTGATATCAAGCCTGAACCTGCTCTCAATCAATTTGCGGCCATTATTCCTTGTTTTCCCAGGTGGTGCCCAGGAGAACTGAGCCTCACCTATTTTCCACTGGTCCTCTCTGGTGAGTTTATAGATGGCCACCAGATCCCCTCTCAGTCTTCTCTTGTGGAGGCTGAATATATTCAGGCCCTTTATCTTTGTAGGGCCTGGCCTGCTGTCCCCTTACCATGCGAGTGGCCCCCCTCTGGACCCTCTCAGGGTTAGCCACATCCCTCTTGAAGTGCAGCACCCAGCACTTGACGCAGTACTCCAGCTGCAGCCTGACCGGCACTGTATAGAAGGGAAGGATCACCTCCCCGGACCTGTTTTTGATACATCTGTGATGTATATTGTGTCATTATGTCATTTCTGTCACACTTCTTGTGGGACTGAAGTTCACAGCTAGAACTGAATGCCTATATAATCCAGTTCCTGCATGGCCATAGGATTGTCAGATGTTCTTACGCAGCTGGCCAACTTTATTTGGTCAACTACTAATGCTGAATTCAGCAGTAGAATCTATCCAGTAGGTGGCAGTGTCTTATCTGACATCCCAACTACTTTACAATGCTCAGTTACCTCCTATCACACTTCTAGCTTCTGTCTCCCATTGCCTGAAGAAGGATGCATGTGCCCAAAAGTTTGCAAAGAACTTTGTTCCAACTACTCAGTTGGTCTAATAAAATATATCATATCTACCCAAAGAACCTTGCCTGTAAGTATACTAGTATTTCATCTTTCCTTTGTTTTTTCATCGGTAGAATTAATATGCTTGAAGTATTAAAGAATTAATACAGCATAAATTCTTGAAACTTGAAAAAAGTAACAGTTGATATTCCTTGTTTTATGATACTACTTGGCTCACAGCATCCTAACTCTTAACTCTGTTTGCATGAGATAACAAAAGAGACTCTCCTGTATCAGACAGAAATTATTTTGATTACATTGAAAAATCCATTTGTAGTACAATCAACAGTGTACTAAACTTCTAAACTAAGGCAGTGTGATTGAACAGAAAGTGCACTACACTGCTTGTTAGGGGTCCAGCCTATTACCTTGGGGTCTCTTCTACTTGCTTCCTTGTTTTGGGAAGGCAGCAGATATTTCTGTGTCTCTGTTTTCAGTTGTAAAAATGAGGCTTTGGAGACTCTTAATTGAAAAGTAGGGTAGTTGCTAAGGGTATGCTCAATTTTCACTTCCAAATTACAATCTAGATCAGAAAACACAGGACAAGACTGAGTCAACCAATTTTGACTTGTATAGTGTGATATATCATCTACTTTAGGATTTTCTAAAGCACCTGTCACTTCATCTATCAGTGACTGTTTTTTTACAAGAACTCGTTGTTAGGTAACACTTAAGACAAGAAAGCCTCTGCATCTCAAAATAAATGTTAAGGGTCTAGGACTATAAACAGTCCACGTAACACAGCCATTGTGCCTTTGGGTACAACTAAAAGACTCTGCTCAGAAAAGACAAATAACGAACATAGTGAGGGTGCTGTACATTAGGCCTGACATGCAGTAGTAAAGCTTTTGGGGAGACCTTGCACTGTGATATGCCAGCTCCTAGCCAAAACAGACAGTATCAGATCTAGCATTAAAAAAAACAAAAACAAAACGATTATTAAATGGTCTCTACTTCTGAATATCTTAGAAGGCAACTCTATTTAAAATCATTTTAAAAATTGTATTTTCCAAATAGATCAAATGCCTCTTTCCTAATTTCAAATGCCAGTGAACAACATAAAAGATGTTGTACCTGGACAGCATGATCTTTTAGGATAAAGTCCTCAACATGCCTTACTGGGAAGATATAAATAATCTCTTGAATTTGAATCTCTCTTTTGATTTAGACATGAGCATTTTAACATAAACTAAATGATGTTGCCTGTCTGCACCAGCAAACTCTTATCAAAATCTGTAACCACCTCAAATTACCATCCAACCCAGAAACATTCAGAGTGAAAGTAGACAGATCTGACCCTTAATAGATTTAATCTTCAGTACTACAAATGCTATAAATCTTCTCTGCAGAAGAAAATAGGCAACTTTAACACAGTAAAACGTTTTCTTATTAGACTCCATGTCAAAAGATTTCTTTTAAAGAAAACAAATTTAAAGCTAAATCTATAAGACTCCAACATAAATTTACTTTAAATATGTGACTGCCAAACTCCACAGCTGCCACAATATTTACTAACATACTTTATACATCAGCTATCAAATTCCATATGTGGCCCTTGAAGTAGATGTTATAAATCTCATTTAATTGTGCTTGTCCTGGCTTATTCTTAGTAGATACAAGGGTGCAATTCTATCTGAAACAGGCCTCCTGGGGATCTAAAAGAAAAGAGACAAGAGTTTCTTCCTCTCTTGCTTTGTGCGTTTTCCTGAGTAGTAGTAGTGTTGACTTGCTATTATCTTAAACTCAGAAATGCATAACAAATTCTTATATACACACAAAATTAAGGGGATGGAGGGAGAAAGTAGCACAAGTAACAGCTATGGACAAGCTTGTTCTGAAGCTCTATGTGAACCAGAAGTACAGTAGTCTTCAGTTGGCTTTCCTGTTCTTTGCACCATCATGCCTCTGTATCTACTTGATATGCCCTGGGAAATGCCAGGAATAGCTTGCTCTAGAATATATCAATTTATCTCCCTTTATGGTACCCTAGATCAGTACAACTGTAGTTCTTGCTGATGTTGCTTGATTTTTTTAAACACAGGTAAAACATTGTATCAACCTTGACATTGGAAATAGCTGAAATGTTTTGGCTTAAATTTAAACAAAACAAAACAAAATCAGCTTATGGTAGACATCTGGCGTGGGCAATTTTAGCTCAGACTTTTACACAGTTATAAACAACTGAAACTAAGGTGCTACAAGCTAGCAGCTCATTTATTGTTCCATGCCAGTAGCTGAATCAATAATCCACAAAAAAATGGTTGTTTTGTTGTTTTTTTTAAAGTATCAGATTCACAGGATAAATCTAAAGTAACTTGATTTCCTTCAGGGATATTACTACAAATTTACATAAGCTGAAAGACCAGAATCTGGTTCCTCGTCACCACCATACTTTAGAGTTTTGTAGTTTCTCTGAATTTTCAGCCCAGGCTCTATCTTGCTAAATATGTGCCAGGATTGTAGCATAGTTACCTTAGGCCGAGTATCAACAACATATATGAAATCACTTCCTGGATTTGCCTTTCTGATGGCCTGTAGCATCTGTTCATCTTCAAGGCATCGAGCACTGAAACCAGACAAGGGTTGGCTACTCCTGCAGATGGATGCCTGCAGCAGAACAAACAAATGGAAAATACACCACTGCATTTAATATTCCTAAAACAAACGCACTGCATTCAAAAACTTGTCTACATAGTCTGTCCCATGCAGTTGGTTCAATAAAAGATATTACCCACAAAATACCTTGCCTCTTGCATTATTTACTATATAACATTATTTACAAAAACAGTATACCATAAAATGTACAAAAGCTCCAATTGCTACAGAATTAACAAAAAGATAAGAATAGTCCAGCTAATTAAATCTTGCCAATTCATGATATGTTTTATTAATAAAACATATTATTGTTTGGCTGCCTATATAATAATATATTTCATAGATTTCATAGACATTAGGGCTGGAAGGGATCTCGGAAGATTACAAGTCCAGCCCCCCGCCCAAAGGGCAGGAAGTCAGCTGGGGTCACAGGAACCCAGCAAGGTAAGAATCCAATTTTCTTCTGAAGGTGTTCCAAGTAGGTGCTTGGACCACCTCCAATGGCAGGCTGTTCCAGACCTTGGAGGCTCAGACAGGAAAGAAATTCTTCCTTATTGTTATAAATGTGGTGTTGACCATTATGGGTTAAATCCTAAATGCCAGGCACGTAGCTCTTTATATGTAATTTTTAGCACTTCATTAAGATTCTATTTCCAACTGTGCCAGAAGCAAAGTAATGGTGGAAGAGGGCTCTCCCTCCCTTTAGCTAGAGTATTTGCCTAAGGAGCAGAAAGTCTGAACCTGTTTTCCCCCAAATGTTCCAGCCACCAAACCGCAGGCTAAGCATTATCCAGAATATTTGTCAGTCCTCTCACTGAAGCTGGCCCACTGCACCTTGTAGTTAACTTTCGTTGCATAAAATGGGTAAAGAGCATTAGTTAAGAGACCCAGCCTAGAACCCGATAGCCCCTCTTTGCTACAGCAGCATCCATCTCACTGAGCTGGATCTCCTTGCTTGCTCTTTTCCTTCAGGCCCCATATATCTTACCTTCTTGGCCGCCTAGTGAGCCAGCTTCAATAGGAGGGGCAGAAAGAGCTTAGCCCTAGCCATGGGTGACTGGTGCCATCTTAGTCAGGGGGGGCACATGCCCTCCCAGTGACCAGTCAGCAACTGGGCAGGGGGGTCCCCTGTGGCCAATCTCGCCAACCAGGGAGTGAGGGTCCCCCATGGCAAAACTCGCCAACTGGGCAGAGGCTGAGGTGCTACATCTGGTGCTCCAACTCCCAGGCCGACACTCACAGGGGGGGCCCCGGTGCTCCCGCTAGCCCCTCCTGCCCATCGCCTAAGTGGAGAGCATGGCTGGTCAGGGGATGCACCAGCACTCTCAGGGTGTGCACGTGCACCCCCATGCACTCCCTACGCATCGCCACTGGCCCTAGCATACCTAGTATATGGCCTAAAAGTTACCACACTTTTCTAAGAAGAAAGCACTTTTCTGGGTATGCAAGAGGCTGGAATGCAGGTCTTCTGTTCCTTGGAGAAGTGCCCTAACTTTTAGCCCAGGGGTTGTCAACGGGGGTATGCATACCCCTGGGAGTACGCACGGGCAGGCAGGGAGAAAGCACCGCCATGCACCATCCTGTGCCGCCACCCACTCAGCCAGACACAGGGACGGGAACTTCGCACATGGCGGCTGCCATTGCTCTGTATCTAGCTGTGTGCCGCCCTCTCCCCTTCCCCCAACCCCGCTTTGCATCTGGCCACTGGGGCTACGCTACTCCACATCCAGCCACCAGGCATACACTGATCCAAAAAGGTTGAAAACCCCTGTTTTAGCCTATTGGGCTAAAATGTAGAAGGGTCATTATTGTTCTTCTTTTCACCAATCTGTTGTTTGTGGTTTTACTGTGACTAAAGTTCCCAGCATACATGGTGTTGATTTTATTCCTTCCCCACCCCATCTCCCCTCTGAGCAGTTGTATGACTGTAGTGCAGCCTACAGAGTATGCAAAGGAAGAAAGCACAGGTTAAGTGTAGTTATGCTGAATCCATGCTTAAGTACCAAAACTGTGGTTACACAGCTATGCAACTGTCATTTACGCTCATGAAAGGGAAACAGGATCTGGCCCTATATCTTTGTGGAAGCACCTGATCAGGCGGTGAATAGCCGCAATTCTAAATAAATAAATATATAAATAAATGAGGCCATTTATTTACCTACCAAATTATGGATTTAGGCATCTAACATTAGACAACCACATTTGAAAATTCTGGCCCTGATATTTTAAAACAGAATATGTGAAAACCATAATACTGAAGTATGTACACCTTACAACTTACTGGGCACATCTACACAAGATGCTACATAGCCTTAGCAAGGAGCCATGGCAATACAGCTCATTGCTGTGGCAACACAGCTCATTGATATGGCGACATAATGTCAGTGGGCATGCCACTGTGATGCCAATGCTACTGCAAAGTAGCAGTGAGCTAGTGTGCAGCAGAATTGGAAACAACCCATGCATCACCAGGACTGTACAGTAACAGCAGTTACTAAGCAGTCATTTGGGACTTGCTAAATGCTAAATGCAAGTACAAAAGTACTTTAGCAAGTCCTAAATGATTATGTAGTACCAACTGCATAGTTGGGCACACATCTAGATGCACGCACTGTTGAAATCTGAGGTTCCCTTCATTTATAAGTTATGATGTAGGTAACTTCATTCCACTTCTGACTTCCGCTGAAGTCACAAGTAAAGTATAAAAAATGGTAAAACCAACGAGTCACATCATTTCCTCTGATGAAAAACCTATCAGAGGCAGTTCTGGGGAGGAATTTTCCATGAGGATCCCCTCATAGTTCTGACCTTGTTGTTCTGCCATGAGAAAAGAGTCCCTCCAGATGCCTAATAGACCACAGACCCATTTCAAAAGGTTGCAGATTGACAGAATGGCATCTATTGCTCCATAGCAGCTCTGTCTCTCTGCAGGCCAAATCTCCAGGTACCAGTGCCAGACAAATTCTTTGGATATGGTTGTCCCAGGAGATAGCATAATACGTTGTGGGGATGGAAAAGAAGGACAATATCGTTACTGATCCCACTAGAGGGTGCTGGTGAGACGGTTGTTGTAAACCGGTCCCTATAAGTGTCTGATGGTCTGGTTCGTTAACCACCTGCTTAGGGCAAGTACTGTATTTACTTAAATCCATGACAAGGTTTTTTCCCCTGCATAACATGGGGTAAAAAGTGTCATCTTAAATTCAAGTACTGGCCCAGGGAAGCCTGTAGTTCACCTCCAGCTTTGGCCCTGGGCTTGGAGCCAAAGCCAGGATGAGCCACTGCCTGTCCTGGACCAGTGGCTCATGCAGTGAGGGGTGGGGGACACTCACTGCAGGGGGAGACAGTGCAGTGGCAGTGAGGGGTGTGTGAGGGATATTCATGGTGGGGGTGGGGGGAAAATGGGGAAGACACCATGGGGGTGGAAGTGTATGGGGGAGATCCATGGTGAGGCTGGGGAGAGCATGGGGGCCACCCCATAAGGTTGAGAGGGCATGCAGGGGAGATTCATAGTAGGGATTCAGGGAGAGGAAAGTGAGACCACACAGCTTCCCTCTCTCCAGCTTACCTTAGGCTCAAGCTCCAGCCCCAGCCAGGCCCGAAGCTGCTGCCACTGTTTTTATGTGGCTGGGCTGGAGCCAGGGCCCCACTGCTGTCTCCCCAGGAGCCAGAACTGCCCAAAAGATAAGTGGCTGGGAGGGCAGGAACTAGAGACAGGCAACAAGGGGGCAGGCATGGGCAAGAGGTGGGAGGGCAAGCAGCAGTGGGGAGGGGGCAGATAGAAGGGCAAGGGGCAGTGGGGAAAGTGTGGGAAGTCTGGCCCCTTGTCCTCTACCACTGATTTCTCTGCAAAGGTTGTGGGAGGAATTCTTTTAAGTTGACTCTCCAATACTTAGATACTTAGTTAACAAATTTATAATTTTCCATGTATAAAATCTCATTGCTGAAGGGGTCTTTGTAAATTCATAGTTATCTTGGATTTAGGTCAATACAGTACCTTAAGCGCTGCAAGCACTATATCTCAGCAGATTCCCATAAAGACTCACAGAGTCTGAGGAGGTAACAGAGGATTGATTCTTTTCCATGGGCCAGCAGACATAGAAGTGCAAATACTTTAGACACAATTTCTCCCAGTTACAAATAAAAATAGAGCCAACAGCTCCTAAATTAGTAGGTCTAGAAAGGGGGAAAGTGCCTCCAGGATATTCCCCACAAAAGTAGTTACAAACTGGCCTGCAGATTTCCCAGAAAAAAATTCAGTTTTCTTGTTCATGCTGTTTGGACATATTTGAGTTTTTGCAGGCTATTCCAAGCATCCACTGACAACTGGTACCATGGGCCATCAATGGGTTGCTTTTCAACCCAGTTCTCAGGATTTCCATCCTAGGTATTAAGCTGTTCAGCCTCCTTTCCACGGCCTTCTCTCAGACTCTCTTCCTCAGCCCCCTCCACGGTAGTTCACTTCTGAACTTGGTCCCCTATTGTACTACTCTACTTTTCTATGCTGGAGAGATTGCACAGTCTTCTGTTGTCTGAATGATGACATAATGCCCAATAACAAACCAGCAGACTAATTGTTATATCAGCCCTTTACCATTATTTGTAACCAACTTAATAAAAAATCATTTGGAATGAAAAATCTTGAGGCAGACAGAATTATCTTCCCCTACCCCCACCACCCCAGAAATGTAAAACCACAATTCCACACTTACATGGTTATCCTTACAGTAATAGGAAAGTGCTGGGAAACGCCTTCTGCTCCGGAATTTGGAGCTTCCTACTATAATGTGTGCAGTTGCAGATCTTGGTACATACACCTCAGTAGGGTACGAATCACAGACCTATCAAAGAAAGCTCAATTTATTTGGGTTATCATAAAAATAACAGCCAGTCATCACAATACAGAAATGAAATAATATGAAACACTGTCATTCTGAGCATTTTAAAGTATTTAATTAAAGTCAGTTACACCAGTCCAAGTATGCCATAAAGTAGTTTCCTCTTTTTTATGAATGGGAAAACGGAAACAGTTGATGAAGAGCTATACTGTGTTTTTAAGTAACTGGTGACTACCTGTACTGACTGAATGAGGCATTGAAAATGACATAGTTTAGAGTAAAGAGTCTTTTGTAAAAGTTGGAAAGTGTTCCAACACATGGGAAGTATTCATAGATGTGATAAGGTATGTGTTCTTCATCACTCACCCAATGCGACACCTCAGCCCAGATTTGCATAACTGCTAAGCACGCTCAACTGTATCTGACCTCAATGAGGGATGTGCTTTGGACATAAAAAGTGCTATAGAATTCTAAGTAGTCTGGAAAAAAAAAGCAGTCCCATATTTTGGCACTCAAAACAGGTGTAATTTTTGCTAATTTTGGACTTAATCTCTCTCTGTTAGAGTTACATAGCTGCTGCACAATGAGGGTACAAATCTCATCAACTCCCAGGGTGAATCTAGAGGGGTGCAGTGGCACGGTCATACCCCCCCTTTCAGACCATACCACAAAAGCAACATACAGGGACTTTTTTAAGTCCCCAAAGCAGGTAAGAATCCATCCTTCTTGGTACCCCTTCCCTGCTGTGGCAACTCTCTCCCCTCCTCTCCCCTTTCCCCGTCTGCCACTGCCACTGTCCCCAGCTAACCTGGGAGCCAGGCTTAGCCAGGGACAGCAACAGAGGCAGGCAGATTTCCCTTCCCTGCCCAGTCTCCCCAGGTGTTCTCCAGCAGCCCAGGACTGCTTCAGCACAGGAGAAGAAACCTGCCCACCACCACCACTGTCCCTGACTGAGCCCAGCTCCCCATGCAGCCACTGCCCACAGCCTTGGCTGGAGCAAGACAGAAGCAGTCAGGACAGTGGCAGCAGCAGGTGAGTCTCCCCTTCCTTTGTGCAGAGAGGGCAAGGTGGGGAATGGGAGAGGAGGGCAAGGTAGGTGCCCCACAGCATGGGTGGGAAGGGAAGTGGTACTAAGAATGAGGGAAGGGAGGCTGTTTCTTACATGATTTCAGGATTTAAAAAAGGTCTCCAGCTGTGTGGTCTGTCTGCCCTGGTTGTCGAGGAAGCTGGAAGCAGGGTGTATAGCCACCCCTGCATCACTGGTCGTTCCTGCACCCCACTTTTTTAAATCCTGGATCTGCCTATGTCTATTCCCACAAGGTTGCTGTAAAAGTAATATAATGGTTTTGAAGCATTTACCTACTACAGTGACTACCACAGAAAAGCCCAGGAGGAAGTTGTTAAATTGTGTACTCAGTTCAGGGTTTAGATAAAAGTATGTGGTAAATGAAGTCCAAGACCACAGATTGAATGGAAAGAGAAAATGAAATAAATGAAATATAGTACAACGCCTGAACAAGACTGGAATCTTGTAGGTAAAAAATCCGTTATTAAAGGACTCTCATAATGAATATGCGTAATGGAAGACAACCTAACATTGCTCCGAGCACTTTGATTCTGGCATTTCCTACCTTTTTAGTTTGACTTTGAAACCTTAACATTATTTTTAGATGCAATTTTAATATCATTCCCTGAACAATGTTGGAAAACAACAAACTTTCTATTATTTACTACTGTCAGATACACACTGGTTTTGCACCAATGAAATGCGACTTTACGGGTGTCATTTCAGACCTGTTTCTGTGACATGCAGGAAGAGTTAGATGAATCCATGAATGTCTTTAGTATTTCTTATAGAATTAACACTTTAAAATTGAACACTTTAAGGAAGAAAGAAAAAAACTTTGTTTCTCCCTTCCATGTATTTTTTCCCTTTCCACACCCCCACTTCCCTGCTTTCAGTCTATTTTTGTACCTTTCTTTGAATCCTCTATGTAAGTCATTTCCACAGCTTTTTTAGTATATATTCCCTCATTTTCTCTAACATTCCAGGATTCCTCTTTCTCTTTATGTCTATTCTAATCATGAATGACACATGCCCCCAGAGGCTGGGGGGACATGCTGACCACCCACAGGTGGCAGTGGCAGTGGCAGTGGCAGTGGCGGAAGTGTGGCAGTGGGGAGTAGGGAGCTCCTGCAGGTGGCTAGCAGGCTGTGGAATGGATGCCTACACAGTCAGGTGGGTGGCCAACTGGCTTAGGGACTGCACCCAGAGACTGGTGGTAGAAGGGTTGTTCTTGGCCTGGAAGGAGGTGGGCAGTAGGGTCCCGCAGGGTTCGGTCCTTGGACCGGTGTTATTTAATATCTTCATCAGTGATTTGGATGAGGGTGTGGAGAGCACCCTCTCCAAGTTCGCAGATGATACCAAGTTATGGGGCAAAGTTAACACACTGGAGGGCAGGGAGCAGATACAGGCCGACCTGGACAGGTTGGATCAATGGGTGGAACAAAATAGGATGCAGTTCAACAAAGATAAATGTAAGGTACTCCACCTAGGGAGGAGGAATCCCCATCACAACTATAGGGTGGGGGATGATCTCCTCAGCAGCTCAGAGACTGAGAGAGATCTTGGAGTCACAGTTGACTCCAAGATGAACATGAGCCGGCAGTGTAATGAGGCCATCAACAAAGCCAATCGCACCTTGTCATGTATTAGCAGATGCACCTCAAGGGAGGTGATGCTCCCTCTCTAGGTGTCATTGGTCAGGCCGCAGTTGAAGTACTGTGTCCAGTTTTGGGTGCCGCACTTCAAGAAGGACACGAAGAATCTGGAGAGGGTTCAAAGGAGGGCCACTTGCATGATTAGTGGCCTCTGTGAAAGACCCTACAAGGAGAGGTTGAGGCATCTGGATCTCTTCAGCCTTCACAAGAGACAGCTGAGGGGAGACCTTTTAGCTGCCTATAAGTTTATCAAGGGAGGACAACAGGGAATTGGTGATGCACTCTTTACCAAAGCGTCCCAGAGAGTAACTAGGAATAATGGGTGCAAATTAGTGAGGAGTAGATTTAGGTTAGACATTAGGAAGAATTTTTTTACAGTAAGGGTGGCCAAAATCTGGAATGGGCTTCCAAGAGAGGTGGTGCTATCACCTGACTTGGTGGTCTTCAAGAGGAGGCTTGATAGTCACCTGGCTGGGGTCATCTGACCTCGGTCCTCTTTCCTGCCACGGGCAGGGGGTTGAACATGATGATCCATTGTGGTCCCTTTCAACTCTACAATCTATGAATCTATGAATCTGTCTTTTCACCCTACAATTAGTTATGACCCACCTAGACTATCCTCTTCTCCAGCAGTGTGGAAAGAGCAGGATGGAAATCCAGCCATGCTCTCCCCCATAAACCTACACCTGTGTATGTGTATGTTCCCATGCTGGTTGTAATCCCCATTCTGAGACCCCTCCCTACCCAAAATAAAATCTGAAGTAATTTATTCACTGCTTTTAATTCAATTCAGACTTTTTCTTCTGTTTCTAATACACGAAAACAGGTTCTGGCAGCACATATAGTCTCCTCTGAAATCTCAGAACTTCAGTGCCAAGACACAGTGGGGTGAACTGAACTGTACTGGCAGACTGACTTCAAAGTTTGTTTTTTATTGTTGTTATCTCTCACCATTTGTATTACTTAACCATATGTTTAATAAACAGTTTTAATCAGACTAAGGCAGGGTAGAATGGGAACCACAGTTAGCTTGGTGGGAATGGGTAGAATTAAGATTTGTGACTTGTCAACCAATTGTATACAAAAATATAACAGTGATAACATTCCAAAATGTCTCAAAAGTACTGCAACTGATTTCAGGGAAAAAGAAAAGATAATACTAAGTCCATTCTTCCAAACCAATGGCTTGTGAAACTATTAAGTAGATTTTTTTAAGAAACTCATTTGCTGCAATTCAGCAAATCACTTACACACAGGCTTAACTAAGAATTTGATTATCCCTATTTAGCAAAGTATTTGAGCATGTGCTCAAAGCTGACTTTTGACGAGTCATTATCTAATTGTAAGTCAGTTCCACATGTGAAAAATGGAAATACAGAGTGAAAAAAGGAAGCATTATAGTCTGTCTTTCTTATCTAGATTGTTAGCTCTTTGCTCCAAGGACTGACTTATACTACATTTATGTATAGCACCTAGCTTCACCTAGGGGCCTCAATGTTAAGTGGGGCTTTTTTAATACAAAATGCTTTTATAATACAAATCATAGCAACTCACTCCATACTCTCTGTTCACATCACTGATCTGCCAATAATTATTTGGGATACCCATCCGATTATATTCTTCATTCAGGTCCACAAGCTTCCAGCCTTGTTCTCGCTCTTCTTTATCTAACTTTGGATTGAATGAAAAACAGTACAGCTCTTCATATTTCACTAGAAAACATAAAAAATAGGCAGGATGATAAATCTGAGCTGAAATCAAAGGCTATAAAAACAAAATTTGAATCAGGTTATTCTCTATAGATTTCTCATTCAGAACAGTATGTTTTCCTGGTGAAAAGCCCACATACCTGCATATAACTACTCAGACGTTTACTTTGAAACTTTGGGCTAGTGGTATATTTTTGCAGTTGTAAAAGGCTGGATTATTGACCCTACTTGAAACCTACTAGCTCTCTCAAGTCTGCTGAATTGAAAACATTCTGCTAACCACCACAAAGGTGCAGTGTCAGCACTAGCATGCTGGTATGCAAAGAACCTAAAGTCAATAAAAGTGCTTGTACTCTAGAAGAATTCTCTTGCCAGAAAAAACTTGCTAGTTCTTTTATTACTAGATTATAGATCCAGTGGAAGGGCAAAAGGATCTGAACAATGGACCACATTCTGCACTCTTACTGGGGCTTAGTCATTATGGATGAACCCTTAACTCTCAACTCTAATTCAACTGTCTTTCCACAAGATAGTTTTACACATATTCAGTGCAAATTTTTTAGCAGACCACATACTGGGTACGGTCTGTGCTGTGACAGAAGAGACAAAGGCAGAATCAACAGGTAGCTGGTAATGTCCCTCTGTTGTTTTCTTAATGGGGTGATAAACACTGAGTTAGGGATGATAAACACTGTGTTATCAATTCCCTGCTGGCCTGGTCAGAAGGAGGTGGGGGGATACCTCCCTAATCGAAGTGTCCTGCCAGGACCTGGTCATGCCTTACCTCAGCTCAGCACCGTAAAAGGGAAGAGAGGGCTCCTCTAGCACCCCCCTGCTTCTAGCCTGAGCCACTGCAGGCATGTGCCTGCATTTTTTTCAGTCCAGAGGAGATGTCTGTGTGGTTCCAAACTGGTTTAGCCTAGCCAGGTTAGACTAACCTGCAAATATTGAATCTATTCAGGCTCAGACTTTTTGAATGTCTGTCCCTAGCCTGAAAGACCCCAATGGCATTCCAGATACCTAGATTACTTTATAGTAGGATAAACGTATTTACAATCTTTCCAACATGATCTGGTTGGCATAATTATAACTTCTGTCACTTTCCATTAATGAATATTCAATAAATACAGTTTAAAATTAACTTGTAAGAGTACTTGTATTCACACTCATGAAATGCCTTGATAAGATTTCAAATGCACACAGTAATTTATATAAAAAGGAACTTTATGATTAAATGTTACTGGCAGCTAGTATGTTCAATAGTCAATATAATGATAATTATTCTGTACATAAACAGAAGAAAAATTTTCATTCAGGCTGTTGCTTTAACAATCGTTACCTCACCAGCTGATGTTTCATGCTCCTACCATAAGTTTCTGACCCACAAGATTCTGGTTTATAAATTAATGAAACTATAGTGGTCAGTTGAGTCACCTCTGATGTCACAACCCCTAAATGACAAAGTGTTTCATAATGTAAGTCCTTAGAAATTCTCTAATTGTCTCCTATAATATTATGGAAATTAAGCAGACTTTTGAGGCAGGGGAAAAAAAGGAAGACTAGAGAAAGTTTCACACTCAATTTTAATCGGCATTTTTCCATATGAATGCCCATTCTTTTCTACAGCAAGTATTTACTTGCATTTTATTTTGGGTGTTATTTTGAGGCATATTTTGTATTTTATAATTTCCTTAAATGCATAATCTATTCAAAACCAAAAATAAAATAAAAAACAAAAATAAAGCTATTGCACATCCAGGACTTTCAATTCCCATTGATTCAAAAACAAAAAATCTGTATTTTGTAACATCACCACAGGCTGTTGCAGAGCTTAGTTCCCTCTTTAGAAATAACTGTTAATAAAAAAAATGCAACAATGACCAGGAAACAAGCCTCAGGCCTCCCCTTTGGGGGTTAGGGGAGCACAAGAATGGCAGTCACCGCTACTGTAAGCCCAGCCATTGCCACCTTCATGGCCAACTCAATCCTGGCCACTGCCACTGTCACTTTGGGCTCAGACCCTGGTTGTTACGTCTCTAAGAATAGGAATAGAAAGAAAAGAAATTTTTTGTTAAAATTTCCCTGTGCAGCTAAGGAAAGAAACATCACACATTGTGAGAAGAGGAGGAAATGAATGGCTGAAATACAGTTTAATAGCTCAAACATCTGTGTTTGCTGTCACAGCACAGATCTAGGAAGGCTAACCTGTGTCCATGTCTTATTTACTAATGCAAAGCTTGAGTATTGTAGTTAATTGTAACCTGAACAAGTAAATTCAATAAAAAGAATCTGATTAGATCCTGATATTTGTTTAGCTCCTTGGTTGTCAAAACATGCATTAACACTGCTGGATTATCTTTGCACTGGATTTGCCCAGGAAATTAACAGGAAATTTTCCAAATGATTTCAAATTATATGGTACACATCTCGGTTGTAAATGCTCATGAAGGGTCAAATCTGATTTAAGATTTCATGCGTTATTTTATGATCATATGTGAAGATTGTTCACATGCAAATAAATTATGGCTTAAAGATTAGCTAAGAGTCACATAGCATCTGATATAGTCTAACACTCACTGAACCATTGATTGTACAAGCTCCATTAGAAGCTGACAGGTATAAGACTTAAAGCAAACTTGTAATTTAGTTAGACTAGCTTGTGTCACAAATTTTTACAACATAATACTGTATTATTACACAAGACAGATTCTCCATTTAAGATACGGTATAATGCAAAAAAACCCAAAAGGCAGGCAGGCAGGAAAAGGAAAAAGTAGAGCATGACTCAATCAAAAATTACTTTGGTAGGTTCATGGGCAGCTTGCGATTGCAGAGTAATCATACCATATTCCTAAAGGATATAATCATACCATATTCCTAAAGGATATAAAGCACACTCCCATGCACAAACAAATGACAGTAGAGAGCTGGCAGGTCAAATTCCACTTATCTTGCAATCATCCCTGCTAACTCTGGGACTCATGGACCCCAATATCAGGTGTTGTGGTGCAAAAAGAAAAACATGGAAAAACGTGAGTGTGCTTTACAGTTAGCTGCTTCTTCTATCACTGACCTGGAGCTTTTTTTCCCTGGGCCTTTTCTCGATTCCTGCCTGCTGCTAAACTGTAATTCATGGGCCATATTCATGCGCCTCTGTGGTATTCTACAATACTATCACATCAGAGTCAAAAGCCACCAGTCCATTGCTGATCAATGGGTGCATCTACACACAAAGCTTTACATGTTGCCCTGTAGGGCCAGGGCAACTCTCAGAATCTCAATATTGTGCTGTTAGACAGGAGGGTGTGACACAATTGCACATATACAAACACACAAATCAATTAGGTGCACACACACACACACACACTAACATTAACAGCTCAGACACATACAAATCCAAACCAGCCTAGGCACATGCATACCTATCACCAATTCAAGCACATACACTATACACCCCTAAAGTTAGATACAGATCACTAATTCGTATATCATGCACACAATGATATATATATACACACACACACACACACACTCATCAGTTCACACACATACAGCCCACCTACACATAGGCAAGTTCTTAACTTGGATGGTACGGTATGTATGTGTGTGTTTAGGGTACCTGGGATACTTGGGGGAAGGTTAAGGTGAGAGAGAGGGAGTTAAAGTTGCCATAACCAGGATTAGAACCAGTGGACTAGAGAGAAGCTGACTGAGGAAATGAGGCTTGGGTTTACTTAAGATCAAGTGGCCCCAGGGTTACTCAAAGTCACTGGAGCATGGGAGGGGGAAAAAAAAAAAAAAAAGCAGCCTGGTGGCAAAGAGGAGACAGCCAGGAAAGAGAGAGAGACAGAAATCTGGGAGCTTGGGGCTAGAAACTGAGGCAGGCAGCTGAGAT